AAAAAAAAAGAAGGATTGCATCTGCAGATGCGAATCTTATCTGCTTCGTATATGAGTTTGTAGAGCATCATGCCGGAGTCATAGAGGTCGCAGGTGTAAATCCCGCCGAATAAAAAATTCTTATTCCAAACATTATTTGTCCGCTTAACCCAGGAAAAAATTCCCTTTGTTTTTGAATTTTTGTACACCAAAAAAACTCTTCTCAAATATCGATTTTTTTCAAGTGTTATCGAAATTACTAATTCCCCATTACCACTCCGGATAATTTAAATGTTTTACTATTTTTCCTGTACTCCTGAAACATTCCCAGGTAACACCTCCAGGCAACACCCCCGGACAACACCCCCAGAGGAATGACGCTAATTTTGAAACACCCTGTATAGAGCGGATCCGCTTTAGCAAAACCTAAAATTTTCGGGATTATTGTAACTGTATTTATCGAGTTAGGGTTAACAGCTGATATTCGCGAGACTCTCTGTATGGTTCTTCTTTTTTCTGTCAGAATATGATAATTGATTTTCACTCATTTACGTTGGAAGTTAATGATGAGTTTTTAACTATTGCTGATTAATTCCAGCAACCCAAAAGGAATCTGACGATTTTAAGCACCAGGTCTACGTACTCGAAAATGAACATATTAAATTCAAGTCTATTATAAATAGTTTGGAAAAAGATATTATTGACATAAAAAAAGAAATGACGGAAAGAGACAGTACAATTGAAGAAAAAGAAAAACGAATATTCCAACTTAAAAGCAAAAATCAAGAACTGGAAAAGTTCAAATTTATATTGGATTTTAAGGTAAGAATATTTTCTTATTGAAACATATTGGCTTTTAAAGCAAACGTTATATTACTTTATTGAAAACTTTAGTATTTTACATGAAAATTAACGTAGTATTTATATAGGTATCGACCCAGCGTGTATAAGGAGCACCAAAAAAAATCGAAATTTTTTTTACTGAAAACCGAGATATTTATTTAAAAAAAAAACGAAAACGGCGCGATTTTAAACATAATTTCACCGTCACACCTGTTAAGACAATTTCCGCATGAACATTATGTAAATATTTGTTGCTTTATGCACCAATCAACAACAGAAACGACTTAAAGGCAAATGAAGAACTAAATAATTTTACTTATGACGAGTTTAAAGTTTTTGCTGTTCTTATCAGTTGCATAAAATGTCATGTTTTAAATGTTTTCTTCATTCCAGTTCCGACACCAACGACATAAGCACTAGTACTTCAAAGCGTGCACCAATTTCATATACATAAGTAATCACAAACCACACATAACATGTGGCTCCATAATCATGTCATAACCAACTTAGTTGCAATTAGAGTTTGGACAGAAACCTTTAACTTATGTTAGTTGTTAGTTAGCAAAAGTTTCGGGCAAAAATATACTGAGTTGATCAGGCGGTAGAATTATAGCCTATACATATTCCACTATCATTTAATACAGAATTCCTTCAAAAACTTAAGAAACAGTTAAATCTGCATTTCTTATAGAAAAACACCACACTAATTTAGCGTGTCTAACCTGTTAAAGTTATCACCGTGTTTGAGTCTCCCCAAGGAACGTAAAGTTTATAAATCGTCTATATTATAATGCATTTTTTTACGTGCACGTACACATTTTACGTGTGGTGTGTTGCCGCACTCCGGACCCAGTTTATGGTTCAACCGAGAGCCCCTTATAACTGAAGACCATTGCAGATTTTGGCCTTCTCGAAAACCCCTTCCCTATGTTCCACACTGCTTAATATTCTACCCCTGCACAGCTTTTTGCGCCAGAGCATGAGCCGTATCTGTCGACCTTCCTTTCCTGTATGCATGCTGGGTGCTCTGCAGCGGTGTCCTGATGAGAATTTTCTCTGTTGGTCACCTGTCCATCATCCTTTCCAAAGTTTTCATGAGGAAAGACGTAAATTTTATGGGTCTGAACTATTTGAGCTCGGTGTTGTTTCTTTCACCGGGTTTCGGCATAAAGACCACTTCCGCTGACGGCCAATCATTAGGGACATATTTCATTGCCAGGATAACCCAAGGTCCTTCCCAGGAACGGGGGTAAGATCTAATAATCTGAGCTCGACTGCAGGCATTTTGGAATTATCACGTCTGCACCTGCGGCTTTATATGGGCAAAATTCAAATCCCCCCATTTAATAGCGTCATCACTGGCAACTCTTTTGGAAGTGGTCCAATCCAATTCATTCGAGCAGACGTTGACCTCAAAGCCTCTGGGGCCGCCGTCGCCTGGAAAGCGTAATGCTAGTAGAAATTGAAAGGTCCCCTTTTTCGTTTCCGTCCAAGTGGCTTTTTAACGGTCTCCATATAATCTTGTGATTAATCTGTGCTGAGGATCTTCGCAAGCCGGGCTGAATCCGATAGCGACTTGACAGCAAATTTCAAGGAACAACAGTTGACAGTCAACAACAAGGAAAGTTTCTTCTTGCTTTGAGCTGGAGATCCCAGTTTTGGCATTACTTTCCATTGGGGGGTCGGTGACAAGCCTCCTTTCTCAGGAGCTGAAGGGCCTTATTCCACCACGGAAGCGTTGAGATCCCAACCTCTTTCGCAAGGGAGCCCTTTCTTCATTTAGCCATCTTACCTCGAGTTTCAACTCCTCTCTGGAGGTTATGTCATCCTCAGAGAATCCGAGAAACTGCCTAAGGTAATCCCTGTTATGGGACCAGTCAGCTTTCTTCTTGTTCCTGTTTTTCAGTGTGACAACTTGCTTTTTCTTCTTCATGTACCATGTCATTTCCAGATCGTTGGTCACCAACACAGCTATCTAAATCCTGCTCACCGCCACCTTGAAGAGTGTGCTTGAGGTTACGCCACATTCAGCCATGATGTTTTGCGTCTACCTGGGCCAAGCTTGCCAGCAATTTTACCATCTATCATGTTTTTCAGTGGTAGGTATTTCACGCTGTTCATTACATGACCGAAGTATTCTAATATTCCCCGCTTGATGGTGCATGGGATTTTAGTGATTTTAGTTAGATGTTCAAGCATATCTAAGGTTCGGACTTTATCAATCCATGATACTTATAGGATTTTCCTATAGCATCACATCTCAAACGGCTCCAGTCGCCCCATCTCATTGCTATTCATAGTCCAGGCCTGCGCTCCGTAAAGCAAAATTGAAAATACATACCAGCGCATCAAACGGATCGTCAAATTCTGTCTAAGATCTCTACTGCACGGAACTTTTCTCATTTTGTTGAACGCTGTGCTAGCGTACTCTATTCTTGAGCGGATTTCCATGTGATCTCTCGGTCTCCATTGTTATTTAACAGACATCCGAAGTACTTGATCTGTGTAACCCGCTCCAGTCACAACTACGACCGTCAGATTAGCCGTTGAATCATCCTCTTTGCTTTGTACCAGAATGTTGGTTTTCTGGATAAATAAGATCGAGTCCCGCTACTGCACATTCAGCAGTGAGCATATCGTGCAAACACTTTAAATCCTAGTCATTGGAGGCCAAAAGTACCGTGGCATCCGCATAGCGCAAACAGTTTATGACTCCGCCATTTACTATCATGCCGCCCAACACCTCTCTTGATGTTGATAGATTCTGAGTATTATCAGTTCTTACTACTGCTGTTTGATTCCAGTATAAATCTGCGATTATGCGAACACCTTCATTCCATCAAATCCAATATATTTTAAGACCCCTATAAGCACATCATGCTTGACTCGATAAAACGCCTTTCGAAAATGCATAAAACAAGGCCACAAGTCAACCGACATATCTCGAAATTTCTGAGCAAGTACGCTCAGCCTGAACAAAGCCTCCCTTGCACCGAACCCGTTGCTCCTGATGAATTTGTATTGGTGTTCGGTGGACCAGATATTCACTATGCCCTTGTGTCCTGTGTATCTTACATACATGGTAGGGATTTAGCCCTTCGTCGGTGAAGTATCAGTTGTTGCGCAATGCTTCGATAACTTCTGGAACGCTCGGCTGCAATTATCTCCAATACCTGTTTTTCTTGGTGCACCACTATCTGGCTCAATTCCTGGAGCCAATCGTCCAGTGTCTCCAGTTTTATCTTGTGTAAGTTCTTATAGGTTCTGCTATGTTACTGTCGTATTTCGCTATAAGTAATAGTATATTCGCATAATGCATAAATCAAGGCCACACGCCAACCGACATATCTCAAAATCTCTGAGCAAGAACGCTCAGCCCGAACAAAGCGTTACTTGTAACAAACCCGTTGCGAAATCCGAACTACGACTCACTAAGGTACTCTTCAGATTTGTGATATATGCGGTCTTGAATTATCTTTAAAAATATTTTAAGTAGGAGACTCATGAAGCTGATGGTCTTGTATCACCGCATGTTCTTACAGTTGCTTTCTTTGGTAATGTGATAAAGACTGACTGCCCAATCGCTCGTAATGTGTTCACTGGCATATATAGCATTAAAAAACCTGCACATATTTTCTATCCTATATGAGTTTGTAACCAACGCAAGGTCTGGTTCTTTTGCCTTGCCATTTTTTGCAAGTTTTACAGCGTGTTCTACTTCATCTCATGTTATTATAAGTGCTTCCAGAGTTGTTCTTACTGGCGGTTCGTCTGCACGGATGTTATTGACCAGATCGGTCATGTACCTCACCCACTCAGCCAGCCTACCTTCCAGCACAGGCAGGTTTCACTTTACGTTGGTCGTTGTGTAGTTGTCCAGCTTTGCTCGTGCTTTAAATTCCGGCAGCCGTTTTGATGCTCTTGTACGAGCTGTAGGCGTCTTGCTGGTCCGACTCAATTTGGAATTCGAAATTCATCAACATTTATCATTGACAAAACATTATTATGTTTTCTAACACTCTCCAGTTTTTCTCCTTTGTAATTAGATTTCAGGTTGCCAGCCTTTGTCAATCACTTCTGGTCGGACTCGATTCCAAAACATCGGCCTCTCGTTTATGTTCGACACTTCTTGGTTTTCAGTAAAGAGATACTCCAACACCTCTGGCGCTTGTATCGGAGGTTCCCCAGACGTCGTTCTACGCGTTGTTATCGCCATCGATAATCGCTTGAGAACCCGAACTTTTTGCAAATATTATAACCTTAATGCATGTCTTCCGTGGGGAAACGTTGGGCATCCTCCTACTTAAGATACACACTACCTATTAGAACCTTACGGTTTTTACGTTTTCTTCATGTTCTAGTAGAACCGCAGTGGCAACCCTGGTTCCTAACTGAGCCCTATGGGTGACGCGTAGATCCTTGTATATCATCATGCAGCATTGGGGCCTCTTGTCGATTGGCGATCCGACTATGGTGTTATAACTCGCCTGATTGAAGTCTCTGATTTAGTGTCTGTAGACATAAAGTTCTTGCATTAGTACAACATGTCTCTTTCATTCTTGCTCTTCTCTTCGGCTCTTCCTTTCGTGATATAACGCTGTCCAATTCGATTGTCACGTCTCTGCTGTGGTGAAGATTGATATTACGTTCCGACAGTGTCATGACGGGTTGTACTGGGGAACGGTGGATCCTACTTTCCTTTATCGATGGGCGTTTGAGGAGCTGGGGGCGGCTGCTTTATGTAAGGGGTCACCCTAAAAGCTTTTATGGTGACCAACTCATACCACACAAGCCTGCGCGCTTCAGCGCTCTCCTGGTTTCTCCGTTCACCATGAAAGTAAGCTTTAAGTTGCGCGATTTTCCTTTGGTAGAGAGGTGTCTATAACTTGGGACACCTAAAGCTCAGTTTTGCAGTCCAAGCATCTTTACCACCTTTAGTCTTCGGTTTTTGCTCCGCACGTGAAAACTGGCTTGTGAGTGAGTTCTTGAAGCCTCTGACTCCAGCACTAGAGTAAACGTCACTTGATTCTTTGGTTTCCGCGGTTACCAAAAGCCAGCCACATGCTCTTATCCCAGAGTTTTGTACTATGTACCAGAGTTGTAATACTCAATCAAACGGGATTTTATCAAACGGGACCTTCAATCAAACGGGATTTTATGTAATGAAGGGATTGGTTGGAGGAAGGTATATCTATAGATCAAGGGTATATGGTGTAATTTCACCCTTAAATATTAAATATGGCTTTATTAAATATAATAATAACTAAATTAACAATTATTATATTATTAATATTATTATTATTATTTAATATTTATAAATATTAAATAACTAAATGATATAATTAATAACTAAAGAGCTTTTGACAATTACCTCATCATCAGGGCCGCAAAAAAACACAAACAGTAATAATTAGCATCCTGGCGGACCTCATGAAAATAAATAAAATAAAAGGGATGTAAACTTACTCGTCAACACAAAATCGTGCATCCCCAAGAGAGCAGAACAGAGCATACCAACCAATGGTGAGGTAGTCAAAGAATTAAAATCTCAGAGAACAAACTAACATTAAAACGGACCATCAATTAAAAATTTGAAACCATAAAATGGGTAATAGAAATATACAGTCAGGCGACCAGTCCAACACTCAACTGATGTTCTAGGCTTAGGATTCAAAACGCAAACCAAACTAAGTATCTTGGATGGAAGACAAGAGGCATTGTACTTGTAGTATTTCACTTTATTGGGAATAATCTATATTTTTCACACAATCATTTTAAAGGCATTTTAAAAACTTCGTTGCAAACTTCTTTAGTAAAATGTACACGAACATCGAATTTGCGAATATACTATTACTTATAGCGAAATACGACAGTAACATAGCAGAACCTATAAGAACTTACACAATATAAAGCTGGAGACACTGGCTCCAGGAATTGAGCCAGATAGTGGTGCACCAAGATAAACAGGTATTGGAGATAATTGCAGCCGAGCGTTCCAGAAGTTATCGAAGCATTGCGCAACAACTGATACTTCACCGACGAAGGGATAAATCCCTACCATGTATGTAAGATACACAGGACACAAGGGCATAGTGAATATCTGGTCCACCGAACACCAATACAAATTAAACAGGAGCAACGGGTTCGGTGCAAGGGAGGCTTTGTTCGGGCTGAGCGTACTTGCTCAGAAATTTCGAGATATGTCGGTTGGCTTGTGGCCTTGTTTTATGCATTTTCGAAAGGCGTTTTTTCGAGTCAGCATGATGTGCTTATAGGGGTCTTAAAATATATTGGATTTGATGGAATGGAGATGTTCGCATAATCGCAGATTTATACTGGAATCAAACAGCAGTAGTAAGAACGGATAATACTCAAAATCTATCAACATCAAGAGAGGTGTTAGGCAAGAATTTATTGCTATCGCCGTTACTACTTAATGTCTACTTGGAAGGAACATTTAGGAAGGCAATCTCTGGAGGGCTGGACGGCATGATAGTAAATGACGAAGTCATAAACAGATTGCGTTATGCGGATGACACGGTGGTACTTTTGGTCTCCAATGACTAGGATTTAAAGTGTTGCACGATAGGCTCTCTGCTGAATGTGCAATAGCGGGACTCGATCTTAATATCAAGAAATCCAAGATTCGAATACGAGAAGCTGCACGGCACAAATAGTACGGGACAAACATGTTTGGGGTTAAACGAAGCGGCAGGTGTTCCAAGTTTACCCCTTGCGAGTTGTCCACATTTCAAAACGGTTCTTTTCAAACCCAGAGATTCATATCTAAGAATTTTTTTTACCACAAATCACCGAACTGTTTTTCGAATTTGTAGATTACTGACTTTCTTCTCTTCTTACCGTAGGTTAGTTGTAAACTCATTGAGCCATAACTTTTGATAGGAGGTCTTGTTAAAATTGTTGAACACGAGAAACAAAATTGCTGAAATTTGTTGATTGAACAAAAGATCATGGCAGCTGAAACAAGACGAATAAAATATTTTTGAACATTATTTACATTTTCGCTTACAAATAATATTTATAACTATTTAAACCATTAAGTTGGGCCTTATCTAAAAAATATTCTTATTTAGTGCAAATCGTTACGTTCCGCATCGTTTATTTTACGAAACCTAGTAATGCATTAAAACATTAGTGAAACACAAAAAAGTACTTGCAAATGCGTACTCGCAATGACGTCATCACTAGTTGAGGTATTAATTTGCGAAGGACCAATTGACAAGATGGGGAAACTCTCTACCAGTAAACCTTTCACTTTCTGTGTTTAATCCATAGTTAACTATGGTTACCTGAGTTTTTGATAATTAAGAGCAACAGGTAGTGACGTAATGTTAATGACGCAGATTACCTTGAAAAACATTGTTGCCGTGTTTTTAATATAGCTTTTCGCAAATATCTCAGCTTTTAATAAGAACGATTTTTTTCTATTTTTCGTATCATCTCTTAACACCCCCAGACAACACCGGTAAAGGAATTATGCCAATTTTAATCACTCTGTATAATAGACCCAATCCTATCAAGTATTAGCTACTCTTCCTGGGTTCCAGTCAATTTCATTGTTTACCATTTAAAATGTTACAAAAACGTTTCGGTGTTCTTCTCCACCATCATCAGTTTGTCTAAAATATACATTCACAGCCGTTATTAGTTTAAAACAAGAGCTCTGTTAAATATACACACTAAAATATAAATTACAAACATATTAAAAAGTATATCAAAATCGTTTGAATCTTTTGGGATTACAGGTGATGAGTCAGGACAATCCTGTTCGGGAAAAGATTAAAACTTATTGCTTAGATATTTAAATTTTATTTACATGTATGGTTGTTTCAACCTTCACATTTGGCAAGCCATTGAAAAATATTAACTTCGTCCAATATCGAGCAAAAGAATAAAAAAACTGTTTATAATATTTGGCAGTTTTCTTTGCATTCTGACGATATCGCTTGGTCTGCATTTCTTCAATATAACAGGTGTTTCTATTTTATGTAGTTGATTTAATTAGTGTATATAGGTGTTCGCTTAATTAGTGTATGATATATACAGGGTGAGGTGTTGTCTGGCGCTGTTATAGGAGTACAGAAAAAATAGTCAAAGAAATTAATTGTTATTAAAAACTGAGAAATTTACAAAAAACTATATCAGAAATACGGCAGCAATGTTTTTCAAGGTAATCTGCCTAATTAACATTGCGCACATACCTGTGGCTTCGTAATTATTTAAAACTCCGGTAACCATGGAATTATACAGAGTGACAATAAGATAGACGAGGATAAGCGGTAAATTCAACAAGATTTGTTGACAAAATGTCAACCTGTTCTCATAACCTCGAATATTGGTGTAAAAATAAACCATACAACACCAAACATTTGAATGGTTAACTCCAAACAAGCTAGTGCCTGTGTAATCTCCTTATTATTTACTCTTATCAAGCAGTTTCTCGTATTCAGTTAATTATCTCGTGCTCAATTTGTATCTCCTTGTGCTGTGTGTATCGTACAAACGTGGTAGAAACGTAGCACTTCCTCGGATTCGATTATACCCAATACTTGTTCCTCTGTGCCTGGAACCCAAAAATGGATTGTCGTCCACCAGCGTCCTGGAACGACTCTCTTCGGCCTTTGTTGGCGTGAGTTCTTGCAGCGTCTGCTATGCAGCTGTAGCATTTCCCTTAAACTAATCGCATATACGCAAATTCGTGAAAGGACATTCAAAGTAAGTCATAATTTGACAAATTATTGTTATTATT